GAGTGCAGTGAGCGCCTGTATATGATCACAAACTCAGATTCAGGCTTGATCGAGCAGGCTACTCAGGGTGCAATGTTAACTTGAGCTCGAGTCATTTTCCACGGGGCGGGGATAGGGCTTCCTCCTCCTCCTCCTCCTCCTTCTCCTCTTCCACCTCCTCCCTTCTCCTCCTCCTCCACCTCCTCCTTCTAACTGCAGCCCCTCATGCTTGAATGCTTCCAGGTTTGCGTTCTATCCGACGGCACCGTGCTTGAAATGGGAAGCCCTCAGGTGCAACGAAGCTTCTGCTGCTGCCTCCCCTCCTCTCGCCTCCTCCGCCGCCTCCGCCGCCTCCTCCTCCTCCTCGTCCTCCTATGTGAGTTGTCCTCGCTCCCTCATTGACGTGGCATCGCAGGATTTGGCTGCAGACCCGAGCTCGGCGTTTGCATCCATGTTGCGAGCATGAGGAGCGGGAAGATGCAAGAGGAAGCAAGGGAGGAGAAGAGGACAACAGGCCGTTAGGGAGGGAGGGAGGAGCGGGGGAGCAGGAGGAAGATATTTCAAAATATTCTTTCATTCATTACACTTATTTTACAGTTTCAACTGCTCTCCCGCAGGTACTACAACTATGTTCTCCTCCTCTACTCCTTGCGATATTCCTCCACCACTGTCGCCGTCCTCATTGCTCTTGCTGCCAGCTAGGATGAGGTTTCAGTACACAGACTCTCTTCTCCCTCCTCCTCGTCATACTCTCCCTTGTCATACTTCGCCTCCTCCTCCTCTCCTCCTCCTCTCCTCCTCCTCCTCCTCCTCCTCCTCCTCCTCCTCCTCCTCCTCCTCCTCGGTGCCCCTCCGTCATCCTTCGCAACTCTCTTCTTCCCTTCCTCACTCGCTCCCTTCCCTCCTCACCTCTTGTACAATCGAGAAGTACCACTTGGTAGTGGTGGCAGCGTAGACGACGAGGAAGTAGTGACTGTTAGAGCTCCTCAGTCCTCTTTCCCCTCCTCCCCTCCATGACTCAAACCTGATTCCCCGCCCTCTCTTCCCCGCCCTCTCCCCCTGCCCGGCTCTCTCTTGCTCTCGCTCTCGCTCCCCCCCTTCCCCTCCCCTTCCCCTCCCCTTCCCCCTCCTCTCGCAGAGCTTACGGTGCATAATGCTGTAGGAGCTTGAACTCTTTCATGATATCGCTGTTTCCCTCCGCCATCTCCTTTCTATCGCTGCCGTCCGTGCCAGGGGAGAAAACTCTGCAAGAGAAAGCGAGCGAGGAAGAGGACGAGGACGAAAAAAGAGGAGAAACAAGGTGAGGAAGAGGAGGAGAAGAGGAGGAGAAGAGGAGGAGAAGAGGAGGAGAAGAGGAGGAGAAGAGGAGGAGAAGAGGAGGACGAGGACGAGGACGAGAAGGACAAAGCAGAGAAGGATGGAGAGGAGAGAAGGAGAGGAGAGGAGAGGGGTTGGTGGGGAGGGCGTGACATAACAGGGGCGAAACGAGAGAGAGCACAAGAAACGTTTTCATGTCAAGAGGAAACACTCCAGCGTTCATCCTCTACCTGCTCTGCACAAGGAAGACGATGAAGGCTAGGAAACCAACCTGATTTCACGGGTCAAGGGAAGACTAACGTCAGCCCACGATCGTCACTGTCACCATGTTCTGAACTTCCGGCCTGTCCTGCTTGAACAACTGCACGCGATGGGATCACGCGGGGAGGAGGCGGAGGGGAGCAAGGCAGGAGAACCTGGAAGATGATAACGAATGTCTTGGCCATGATCACTCCCCCGAACAAGTAGCCCAGGTCGTGCCCGAACATTACGATGACGAACCTGCCGCCTCCTTTGAGACTTCGCGCGTCCCCAGCGTCCGCTCACCTGAACGAGTCCAGGGACTCGCTGCAGAAGGAAACGAAGCAGCGGGCCAGCAGCTCCCATGCCAACATCCCTTGTTCTCCTGTCAGTCCCTTCCTCCCCTCTGACCCTCCTCCTCCTCCTCCTCCTCCTCCTCCTCCTCCTCTACCCGCAAAGATCGAGGAGCCCACGATCGCTAAGGTGATGCAAACCTGCACGGCAGGCGGCCATGAGGGCAGCAAGACCTTTCACAGCAACCTGCCTGAATGATGCCGTTGTTCAACAGCTTCGCCCAGGTGGCGTAGGTGACCCTGTACCGGAACTTGCACAGTTCACACTGATCAAAGACTCAATGAAAGCAGCAGAAACAGGAGCAAGAGCAACAAAAGAAAAGGAACCAGGAGGAGAAAGAGCAGAAAGGAGCTGGAGCAGGAGCAGGAGCAGGAGCAGGAGCAGGAGCAGGAGCAGGAGCAGGAGCAGGAGCAGGAGCAGGAGCAGGAGCAAGCTGAAGTGGTGGTGGTAGCAGGAGCAGCAGGAGATGATGATGACGATCGCGAGTCGAGTTTGTCTGACCGTATGATAGCTGTCGTTGCGATCTGACTTCACCCTCCACTCTTGCAAGCAGCTCCGGTGAACCCACCGGCCGCTCCCCCTGCACAGGCAGGGGCTGAACATTTCTCCTTCCGCGCTGTGACAGATCCTGGGAGGTGAATTTAGTCAGCATGACAGCAGAACGAAGGGAATGGAGGAAAATGATGGTGCTCACCGGCATTGCTTGTCTAGGTAGGACTCCTGGTTGCTACTTGACATGTCCGCTACCGCACTGTTGCTGCCCATTTTGGAGCTGTGTGTCGACCTTGTCAAGAGCCTTCCATGTGGCTTCCTCCTGCCCTGTCTTCCTGCCTACTCCCTCCCTCTCTGCATCCTCCTACACCTGGTGATATCCCAGCCTATCACGTCGGATCATAAACTCACTCACTCACTCACTCACTCACTCACTCACGCTCCTTCCGGCCTCCTTCCTGCCTCCTTCCCGTTGCACTTTTGATCCTCTCACGAAACCTTTGTCTCTTCGCACAATTCGTTCAGACGTCCTTGCATATCCCCCAAGCTCTTGCACGTTCTACACTTCATCATTCCATTCTACATCTTCTACTGGCCACAACGACTAGTCTCCCTTCCCCTCCCCCTCCCCCTCCCCCTCCCCCTCCTCCCCCTCCTCTCCCCGACATCATTTCCTGCCTGTTTCCTGCAATACATCACCTTTCTGAGGCGAGCTCAGGTGTGAGCTCTAAGGTGTTCAAACCGTTGCAAAACGTTACAAAAGGCAGCCAGGACCGTTTCGAACCGTTCGCTGGGGACTGCACAGGTACGTTTGTACCAGAGGCTGCGCTGGTACTGAGAAAGTAGTACCTCAGAGACAAGGATTACAACCTGAGTCTGTACCTAATTCACCCAAGGATCGATTTATAGTACAATATATATATAAATAAATGATAAACTTAAAGTTATCAGTAGTTCTTGTTGAGTTATAAAGATTTAGCACAGTACACGTGTACAGCCGGTCGCAAAGGGGGTGTCACTGCTAGAAACGACACTGCGGTGGGTGGGTGGGCTGAAATACATCGTCGGGGAAGGTGGGGGGTGGGAGGAAGGGTACTTGAATGATTTGTAGTATGAGTAACCCGATCGATTCTTTAAGTCTCATAAAGGATTTGAAAGGTATCATAGAACCCTTGAGATCTAACAAAGGTTAACTTCAAGCCGATGGTAAGGGTGGGTATTTTGGGGTGCACTACCCCACCGATTGCCCCGTGTTGGTGACTACAGATGGTGGGTAGGGGAACTTAATTTTTTTTGATCACTGACATCACAAGGAGGGAGGGCACATTGCGTACGATCCACTAAGGGGGTGGGGTTGTGAAGTGTCTCTAAGGGTAGGGTGGTACAAGGAAAATTCCTGTGAAGCCGGTCATAGCATAAGGGTAGGGTTGTGGTCGGGCATCGTAGGGGTGTGTAAGGAGGGGTGGGGGTCTTCTTTGAGCTGTCATTCTATCAACCCCACCCTATACTGGAAACACAGCATCAATCGAGGACCCCTACCCCTTTCCTCATTTAATTCCTTCCACCATCACCCGTACATTTGATATACATCTATGGGGTCCACTTTAACTCACTACTAGACATGAACCCTACCCTACCCCACTGTCCTTTGCCCTGCCCTACCCTACCCTACCCTACCCTACCCTACCCTACCGTACTAGAGCAATGTGTTCCTGACACGGAAAAATGCACCCTGAACAACTGCACAGGAGCACTACCCCCACCTGACCCTCTTCGCACAGAGTACCCCTCTATACCTCTATTACTTCCCCACTTCAGAGGCCGGGAGAGTAGGGTCATGTTGAGATACGACCAGGGAGGGTGGGGTAGCGCTTTGAGCAAGCATGTGGGACGAATGGTAGGGTCGTTGATGTCATAGCAGAGGTGGGGTGACTCGGTTCTAGTAGTAAGGGGTAATAATTTCAGGAGGGTGGGGTTATATGAAAAGATCCAAAGGGTGGGGAGGACTGAATCGAATGTTGCGATGGGGTGGACATGATTGAGTGGGTAGTCGGGGCTTGTGTAAGTCCTCTGATGAGGGGTAGCTATTCCATGGTATAGAGTGATAGGGGTTGTTCAGAGGGGGTAGGGTCATAGATGTTCTAGCAGGAAGGGGTGGGGTATCCCTGATGTGTGGTAATCTAGGGGTAGGGTAGGGGCAAGTTGGGAATGCGACAAAGACGGGTAGATGAGGGAGACAAGAACAAGACGGAGTGAGGTGCGATGCAATGACGGGAGAGGAGTAGAGGAGGGAAGAGGAGAGGAGTAGAGGAGGGAGGCAGAGAAAGGCAAGGCAAGACCACGTGCTGATGGCTCAGGGCGGAGCAGGTGGACATGGAAGGGGGGGGAATAGGTAGACGGGGCGGAGGCGATGAAGGCGAATGAAGTGGACCAAGATAAACCAAGTAGTTACACTGAATGAGAGTAGAAAATTTTGATATGCCTTGTAGAAGGAAGAGTTGACTTGTTGCGCAGCGCATGATTTGAGGTCACGAGAATGAAGGAAGACGCTTCGTTGTGTAGCATGGACTCAATATCCAGCAACAGGGATGAGTGGTGTCAAGAACTGGAAGATGAACGAATGGTGAAAAGCAATGATGTCCATTGATTTTCGATCCTGATGTTGCTCCTTCAGATATCGAACAGCAAGCATTGCAGAAGCCTCGTCGTCACAAACAGAGATGGAAGGCGATGTGTTGAGAAGCGATACTCATTGGAATTCCTTGAAGAGAAGAACATTCATCTTGAAGACCTGAATAGAATGGTGTTTGATGACTGCTGCTTGCTATTCGCAGGAGTGATTCTTCTTGTAGGTCGGGTTGCTCAAGGAATTGAGGCATCCAAACATAATTCGGGTGCGAGAGAGCTTCCACAACACAATGTATTGGATCCTGGTCAAAGAGTTTTCGAAAGCAAAGACGCTGGAGCAGCTGATATGCGAAGAGAATGATTTGTCGAGGAAGAATGTCATGGTGTTAGCGGATCAGCTCACTTCAGCCCTCAAATATCTCCACAAGATGGGCACCCCGCACGGAAACCTGAAACCCAGCAACGTGCTGGTGGCGGAGGATTGTCACCTGCATGTCTGTGACATGCAGCTCTCTAGCGAGCTCTGCCCTCCGGAAGCAAGCATGGTCTACTGTAGCCCAGAGAGATTCCAAGACGGGAAAGCATCGTTCCACGACGATGTTTGGGCTATGGGGTGCGTGTATCTTGAGATGATACTGTTGGAGGTCTGCAAGGAATCGTTCTGGAAGGTTGTCAATGGTCAGGTTGAGCTGAGGGACAATTTGTTGGGCAAGATCTACTTGTTCTCAAGCTGCTTCGGGCTGATCATCAAGAGGCTGTTGAGCGTCGATGTTCACTTGAGGCCCACAACGGAGCAGGTCGAGACGCTCCTGTCCGTGTACAACAACGTAGAGGAGCCTTACCAGCTCTGCTGCCCTATCATGGGAGTGATGTACCGAGATCCTGTCTTCGTGCCTGGATCTGGCAACACCTACGAGCGCAGCGCCATCCAAAGTTTCTGGCGGAACAGAACCCCTGGCACGAGGCCCCGAGACCCTCTCACGAACATCGACCTGCCGACGGAGACTGTCTACGTCAACTGGGACAAGAGGAGAGAGGTTGCTGCATGGCTGGCTGAGCATGCAGACTACGTGCCGTACGGATGGTCTAGCAGGTGCGACGTGCCTCCAGTAGAATCTCGATTGGGAGATGCGTTGGCTGGAACAGCTCACTTGCAGCCGGGAGGGGTCTTGGGATACAACTTGTTGTGGTTGGCAGACGTTCTTGTGCAGAATTCTTCGATTCTGTTTCTGCTCCTTGCAACCGTCTTCTACGCCCTGGGCTTGCACGAGCTGTCGCAGTACGATTGGATGAACTGCCCCAACGACAAGTCGATGGCGGAGAGTTCAGCTGTCATGGAGTATCCGGTGCCCAAGGGGAGCCGGCTTCAGATCCTGGAGGTCTCCTCATGCTCCGAGCACCAGCTCTCGGTGAAGGTGCCAGCAGCCAACCTCTTCGACTTTCACTTCGACCGCTTCGGGATCTCCCTCATCATCCTCGGCGTCGTCTGGCTGTGGACGCGGACAGCGTGCAAGGTCAACGCTCCCCTCCCCTTCATCATGTGCTCCGCCCCTTTCTGGCTGGTAGGCAGCCACCTGTTCCGTGACTCGCTCCGTCCTCTCTACGAAGACATCGACCTCAAGGTCGGGCCGGGGATCCTTGAGATCAGCTCCACCCTCTTCGGGCTGGCGTGCCGGACGAGGGCGATGCAGCTGAGGGACGTGCAGGCAGTGAGGCAGAGCTCGGGGATGCAGCGGAACGACGAGCTGCTGAGCGAGCTTGAGATCCATCAGGGAGCACGAGTGCACAGGTGGGGGACTGTGCTGTCCTCCTTGGAGGTGCACTACGTTAAGAAGGTGGTGGGGGAGTACATCATACGGCAGGAGGAGGAGCTCAGAGATGGATGCAGCAGACAGCAAGCAGGAGGGGGAGGGTGCCGCTGGTGGCTGCAGACCAACGAGGAGCTGATGAGGCAGTTTGCGGAGGGCCGCGAACAGGCTTCGTACGAGAGGATGTGAGGGCGTGTAGAGGACGAGGATGTGTGACGACGGTAGTGAAGTGAGATGTTGTGAAGTGAGGTTCTGTGAGACTTGTACATGGTGACTTGTTACTTTGAAAGTTTTTGCATGCTATACTTAATGAAGGTTGAGCTCTAAAAGGCGGTTTGCATTCCACATCGCCACCACCCCAATCGCCTCCTCCATGCTCACTCCGAGGTCCCCTGAGCCAGCAAGGGAGTAAGAGGGCATGTCCTAACGCACGAGCGACGAGGAGGATGAAAGAGTGATGATGGTGGGCAGTGATTGAATACTGGTTCGATCATGAGGTTGTAGGTGGAGACCAAGGAGGATGCATGGCAGGCAAGCAGGTCAATAAAATGCAGGAGGAGGAGGAGGAGGAGGAGGAGGAGGAGGAGGAGGAGGAGGAGGAGGAGCAGCAGCAGCAGCAGCAGGGGAGACGTCCGACCCCTCTCGTCCACGATCATGGCCCCTTCGGTCCCGATGAAGAGAAAGCCCATCGGAGTCAGGTACACTCCCTGCGCTCTCGTCACACCACCGCCCGCCGCCTCCCTTCCCAGCTGACTCTGACCTGTCGGGGGCTCGTGCTGGTCTGGTGCTGGATCTTGATAGCCTCGCCCGCCATGTCCGACCGCCAGTCCTGCACCGTGAGGTACTCCTAGGAGCCGCGCGTCATGCTGAGGTAGGAGGAGGAGCAGGAGCAGGAGCAGGAGCAGGAGCAGGAGCAGGAGCAGGAGCAGGAGGAGCAAACAGTGGGTAACTATGAGCTGGAGCTGGAGGAGCAGGAGCTGGGGTGGGTAGCAAGTCGAGAGAGGAGGGACTGAGGCAATGGCGCGGCAAGGGTGGAAAGGAGAAGGAAAGTTTAAGTTGACCTCGAACAATTCCCTGTGGGATCGGGACTGAAGTTTGGCAGCGTCGGGGACGGGAAGGGAATGAGGAAGTCAGAGGTGTTAATGATAGGGAGGCGACCGGAGAGCCTGGAGAGACGTGAGATGTGCGGGTGACAAGACAAGACAAGACAAGACAAGACAAGACAAGACAAGACAAGACAGGACAAGACAAGACAAGACAGGACAGGACAAGACAAGACAAGACAAGACAAGACAAGACAGGACATGGCAAGACAGGACAGGGCAAGACAGGACAAGACAAGACAAGACAAGACAAGACAAGACAAAAGAGGATAGGGAATCGATAAGACGAGACTACACAGCGCAAAAAGCAGGAAGAGACAAGACCAGGAAGTAGAGCAGAAGCGAAGGGAACGAGGAGCAGGATAAAAGGAGGGGTGAGGATAGGAGGAGGGGTAAGGTAAGAGGGAGGGTTCAGATAAGGAGGAGACTAGTGACCTTCTGATCTCTTCGTATGCCCTCCTGCTGATAAACTTATCATCCTCTAGACGCTGCGGTCGCTTGTCAGGCCGTCGGAGGAGGAGGAGAAAGACATACCATATCCTGCGAGACGTATCGCGGCTGTGCGTCATTGCCGTTGCAGTATCTGTAGGAGGCGAGTCAGAGGTGAGGAGGAGGAGCAGAGAGCGGAGAAGGGAGGCAGAGAAGAAAGGAAGAGAGGAGAAGATCAAGAAGAGGGAGGGAGAACGGGGGGGGAGAGGGAGGAGGGGTTCGAGATTGAGGTTGGAGACGAGAGGGAGAGGATAGTTGGAAAGCGAGAGTTGGGAGGGAGCGAGCGAGCGAGCGAGCGAGCGAGAGAGAGAGAGAGAGAGAGAGAGAGAGAGAGAGAGAGAGAGAGAGAGAGAGAGAGAGAGAGAGAGAGGAGGAGTGGTTCATATTATTCCCATGAGCTTTCCTACCTGAAGCCTCCAAGGGAGTTGAAACAGAACTCGACGGTGATGCCGGAAGGGATGTGCCGCAGCATGCAGACCTAAGGCAGGGGAGGCAGAGAAGTGAGCAAAGAGGGAGGGAGGAGACTTCTGCTTGCTGCCCCCAGGAGCAAGAGGAAGGGAAGAGAGACAGAAAAACAGGCAGGCAGGCGGAGAGAGAAGGAGGGAGGAACGAACTAGCATGACTGTTGTTACCTCGTATAACATACTACCAACTCCATGGATCATATCCCAACAGGGGCTGAAAGGAAACATCACTTGTCAAGCCAACCCTCCTCCTCCCCGACACTCAGCTTGTCAAAATAGTCCCACCATCACCACCATCTCCATCATCATCATCATCATCTCCATTATCATCATCATCATCATCCACCTCCCCTCTTCACCATGTTGCACTCACGCGTGCCAGGTGCTTGTGAGCTTCTTGATCAAGATGCTCTTGTGGGTCTTTCCCGTCATGTAAATCAGCGATGGCGCGCGCGAGCGAAGGCGTCCCTCAGTAGAGGCGTCCAGGAGGTCTGGCAGGCAGAGGTCAAAGAATAGGAAGAGGAAAGGGAAGACAATGAGAAGAGAGATAAAGAGATCAGAGAAGAAAAGAGAGCAAAGAAACAAGACAACACGTACAAATGGGAGAAGAGAGGAGAAGCAGCAGCAGGGGCAGCAGGGGCAACAGGGGCAGCAGGGGCAGCTGCTGCTGCAGATGTAGCAAGAGGAGCAGCAGCAGCAGAAGAAGAAGAAGAAGAAGAAGCAGCAGCAGCAGCAGCAGCAGCAAGAGGAGGACGAGGAGCACGAGGAGGAGGAGAAGGAACAGGAGGGACTGACCGCTCATGTTGATGTAGGTGAAGTTCTCCGCCAGGTCGTTGCGGGAGACCCACGTGGGCCCGGCAACGTGTCGCTGCCCCAAGTTTAAAGGACAGGTAGGAGCTGCGAAAGGTGCAGACTTACGCCTTCTTGCGAGTCGTAGAAAGATTGGAAGTCGAGGGAGGAATTCTGCGAGCAGATTTCAAAAGTTGAGAGAGGAGTTGGAAGGCTGACCTGAGATTCAGAGACGTATGATGACAGCTGAGACAGAGGTCAACGAGGTATGGAGACATGTTGGCAAGAAACCTCAAGGCTTTCGATGTGATTCTGAAACAAGATATCGATCAAAACATGGGCGACGGACACGATGAGAAAGGGGATGACGTGGACGAGGTCGAGGACGAGGATAAGGACGAGGATGAGGATAAGGACGAGGACGAGGATAAGGACGAGGACAAGGACAAGGACAAGGACAAGGACGAGGCCAAGGACAAGGCCAAGGACAAGGACAAGGACAAGGACAAGGACGAGAGGAAGGAGGTTCTGGCGGAGAAGTTTGTCATGGAAGTTGAAGGAGAGACCTTGATTATTTCCAGCTTCTCGTGCGATCTCGCGGCCTCCTCCTTCCTCTCCTTGACACCCTGCCATCCTGTAAGTCACCGGGAGGCAACGAGACTGCTGGGCCCACATCCTGGTCGTCGGTACGATCGAGCTCCTCCTTCAGGCAGGCCTGCAAGACCTCTATGTCCTCCTGCTCATGCTGTGACCCACGGGACAAGTGCTGTTCCCTTACCAGCTCTTGCTGATACAGCTGCTTCTCCGCTGACTTGTACAGGACTGCTAGCCTCTGCCTCCTGCCAAGTCTGTCAGTACGAGTGGCTCTGCTGGAAGCAGCTGAGATAAGTTCACGTCTTCTCATGCTTATCGAGCTTCAGTTCGGAATAATTCTTCTTCTGGAGGTTCCCCAGCCCAAGTCGATCCATGAGGTCGAAGACTGAGAATGCAGAGAGTTCAGGGCAGGGTCGACGGGGGGGGGGGGGGGGGAGGGGAGAGAAGGAGAGTGCAGAGGACGAGGACAAGAACAAGGACGAGGACAAGGAACAAGGAAGAGGAGACAGGACGAGGAGGAGGAGAAGGGCACACAAACAAGAAGGGCGATGAGGAAGACGGAACGGAGGAGGAGTGGAGACTAGTCATGGCCAAAGAGGAGGGGGCATGAAAGTGAGCACTCACAGAAATCCTCGTCCTCCGACAAATCTCCCTCTCCCTCCCTCTCCCCTGCTCCTTCTCCCTCTCCCTTTCCCTTCTCTTTCCCCTTCCCCTCTTCCTTGGAAGTCGCCTGGACCGCCATCCTGTCAATTCCTTGCGCCCACAGCGGTCGCTGCTACTCACAGTTTTCTTCCCTCCCCCTTGATGCACTACCTTCTCGCTCGTGCCCTCGGGCTGAAACACGAAGTCTAAAAATTCCTCGTGCCCCACACACTGCGACAGGATCATCAACTACCGCCAGCACCGCACCATGCTCGACCTCCAAGTCGTACGCATCCTTCATCAGCTCCTCGAGGGCGGCGGTGTAGTTGCTGCTCGCGATCAGCTGCGTGTGGGGTGAAGGAGCCGGGCTTCTCACCTCTGGTTGACTAGGAGCGGCAGCTCGTCGTCTTCCTGGACATAGTTGATGTCCTCGTACGCGTGTTTGAACTGCAAGTCATGTCAGTCTCCTCTTTCTCTTCCTCCAACCCACTTCCCTTGTCCTCCTCCTTCCCTCCTCCTCCTATTCCTTGCCTCATCATCATCACCACCATCACCACCACTACCACTACTACCACCACCGTCATGTTCCTCTATTCCCCATTCCAATCCCACACTTCCACACTCCCTACTTCTTCCTCCTCCTCCCGCTGCTCCCGCTGCTCCCCCTCCCCCTCACCATCGAAACGTCAGCAGGGAGGCAGGGCAGGGCCGTCGGGTCATCCTCCGGCGCGTCAATCCCTCGCACGCGCACGCCGGATGCGTTGTGGGCGAATCGGAGTAGATTGTCGAGGATACACTGCCGCTCCTCGTCGGTGAAGAACTCAGCCGCCCACTGAAGAGGAGGAACAAGAGTCAGCGGAAGAGGAGGAGGAGGAGGAGAGGAGACAGCGAGTGAGGAGGAGGAGGAGAAGGAGGGGAGAAGTTAGAGAGTGGGGAGGCAGAGAAGAATCAAGCAGGAAGCACGTCAGAACGAGCCTCAATCTCTACTTCTCCCAAAGCTGCTGCCACCTCTCCCTCTTTTCCCCTCCTCTCTGAACCACTCTCCTCATATCTTGCACCTCCCACACACCCACACGTCCCAAATTCTCTTCCTCCCTCCTGCCCCAGTCCCTCCTTCACTCCGTCCCTCCGTCCCTCCTTTCCTCCCTACTCTGCCTGCCTTTTCCCTATCTCTTCCTCCCCCCGCTCCCTCCTCTCCCTGCCCCCACCCCATCCTCACTTCCTCTCCCCTCCTCTCTCTCCCCGCACCTCCTTGGAATGCCCGTAGGCGAACTTGTCGCCATCGATATACAGATGAGCTTGAAACGCTTCGAGGAGCTTCTTGAGCGGAGCAGCACGAGGAAGGCACCCAATCCTCTTGGCGTCGTCGAAAACCTTCTCAGTGACCTGAGGTTGGAGGGGAAAAGTTAATGGCAACAAGGAAATGTGGAGGAGGAGCAATCACGAGTCAGATGCAACGAACATCACTGCTGGTACTTCAACCATGAGCTTGTTCGTGAGCAAACACAGACAGCTTGACAAGTAGCACCAGCAACACTAGCACTAGCAGCACCCATAGAAGTGACACCAGCACCACCAGCAACAGCACCACAACCACTACAAACAGCACAAGCACCAGCACCAGCACCAGCACCAGCACCAGTACCTTTTTCATGGTGTTGAAGAATCGATCATAGTGCAAAGACTTGGAGGAGGCGATGAGCCCTTGCGAAACCGCAGCGTCTGTGATCTTGCGTGCGATGTCGCTAATGGAGTAGCTGCAGAAGACGATGAGTAAGCAGCAGCAGGTCGAGGAAGACGAGGACAAGGGCGGGTGTGAGCACGAGCACGGGGACGGGGACGGGGACGGGGACGGGGACGAGAAGGAAAAGCAGCAGCAGCAGCAGCAATACAACAGCAAAGGCAGCACCAGCACCAGCACCAGCACCAGCACCAGCACCAGCACCAGCACCAGCACCAGCACCAGCAGCGAACAGGAACATGCCGTTACCATCTGAGCCTCCCACCCGAAGTCTCGTTCTTCTCCGTAACAATTTGCTCCACCATCTCTTCAGTGAGCATGTCGCTGTATCCGCTCTCGAGGTACGGGCAGAAGTACGTCTGCAGCCTCCCGTCCGGCAGCCGCACCTGCTCGAGAAGCAGGACATTAGGGCTTAAGATCAGCATGCTGGAAGAGCGGTACTGCCTACCTTCCCCTTGGGGATCGGCTCGAAGTACTGAATCGCCAGGTCCTCCTGCACCACCTCCTCGCTCTTGTGCTTCGACCTTGACCTCTTTGCCTTCTTCTTCCTCGCTTCTTCCAAGAGCACGTTGTACATAGGACGAACGACTATCCCCGCCCCCCCGATGTCGTCGCTGTACTCCTCCTCTTGAGTCTGCGGGTGCCCCTCCTTCCTCTGCAGCTGGATAGAGGACTCGCTCGAAGGAGCAGCAGCGTGCGATGGCTCCATGCCCTCAGCCTCGACCGCCTCCTCCTCCTCCCTCTCCTTTGGATGGCCCTGGGGCTCGGAGGAGGACTCAATCATAAGATCGTCGAGGATAGCGTCCTGCCTCTGCTTGCCCGGGTACTTAGTCCTCGCCAGCAGTTCAGTCTGGTAGGAGTCGAGCGACTTGACAGCGCGCATGTCAGTCACCAGCGACTTGCCGGCGTACTCGTTGATGTTGAAGACATCGCTGGCGTTGGACATATCGGGGCGGATGGCCTCGTTCTCGTAAGTCTTGGCCTCGGACTCGTAGAGGGAGGACTCCATCATCAGATCGTCTAGCTTCTTCTCCTTCTGCCTTCCCCTCCTCTGCCATAGAAACTCCCCCTGGTCCTGCACGACCTGCCGATCCCCAGTCATCGCCGGCACAGCAACACCAGCGACTACCGTCTGCGTTCCTTGCTCCTTCGGCGTCGGAGCTTGTGCTGGTGGCAGTTCCTTCACTGGCTGCTCCCTGCACCAAACTCTCGTCAGCATCAGCACGCAATGCCCTTCCTTCACTCTCAGCCCTCACATGACTGGCTGCTTCTGCAAGGAAAGAAATCAGACGGCAGGAGCAGGTGAACGAGACAGGTCGCATGCTCTACCGCACCTGGTCCTTGGTCGTGGTCACGTTCGTCCTCGACGATGTGGAAGAGCTCGACTCCTCCTGCATCTTCTCATCCGATTCGTCCCATGACGATTGCCCCGGCCTCCTCTCCTCGTAGTCACTCAGGCTGAAATCCTCTGAGGAGGAGTCTCCGCCCTCAGGAACAAGACTCTCCGACATGGCGCGCGCGGGACCAACCCTGCATGAGCCGACACCGCCAGGTGGAGACGAGGCAGGGAAGGAGCATGCAGCAGTCCAAGGTCAGACCCGCCAACGAGCATCAGGCACAGCCAGGGAACCATCGGCAAACTCCTCCCCATCCCTCTTCGTCTTGACAGTAAAGATCTGCATGATGCCTGCGGTCTCGTCTTGGGCTCATGGGACCAGGACGAGCTGCGATCAGCATCGCCGCTGCCATCTTCAGGTTCTCTCCAGAACAATGGTCTGCTTCGCCGTCCTCCAAGTGAAGGGCCTGGCTCGTTCTCTGCTCCATGTGCTCCCATGCCTCTGTCGTGCTCCTCCTTCATCTTTCAGTCCTCATGGTCTCCTCCTCCCCTCTCTCTGGTCATCCGTATGCCCATCGGCTCTCGTCGTCCTGTCTCCTTCCTCCACATCTCCGTGTCGTTTCAGTTCAGCTTGTCCTTCAGTGCAGAACACGCACTATGTCACTTCCCACTCCTCCTCCTCCTC